AAATACTTCAATGTCCCAAGGTCTTTTGTTTGAAAATGATTTTGCAGAAAGACCTTTAGTTTATCGATCCCCAATTTGTCACTATCAGTTATGACAATATCATCCACATAGACCACTAATAAAATCTTTCTGACTTCTGGATCATAGTTGAACACCGAGTGGTCAACCTGACATTGTTTCATTCCAAAATTCTTTACCACTTCACTAAACTTCCCAAACCAAGCACGAGGCGATTGTTTCAACCCATAAATTGCCTTTTTTAATCTGCACACCTTACCATCCTCCCCTTGAGCAACAAACCCAGGTGGTTGCTGAACTCCTATGGAGGAGGTATATATGGAGCAACCTCCATAAGGTTACCATCCTCCCCTTCAAACGCTCCACACTACCATCCGGCAAGTATTTAATAGTATACACCCATTTACAACCCACAACATGCTTACCAGGAGGAAGAGTACTGAGCTCCCACGTTTGAGTATGCTGAAGGGCAAAGAGTTCCTCCTCCATTGCCTACCACCACCCAGGTGAGCTAAAAGCCTCTTGGACATTCTTAAGTATAGAAATAGATGACAACAATGAAACAAACTGGCGATGTGAAGAGGAAAGGCGAGAGACTGAAACAAAATTGGAAATGGGATGGAGGGTACAACAACGTTTACCTTTCCGTAAAGCAATGGGAAGATCAATTCCTGAAGGTTGTGGGACAAGAGCAATAACAGGATCCGCAGACAAGGTAGAAGCTAGAGGAGAAACCGGTGTCTGTCGATGAGTATACACGTGCCGGATTGGTGGTCGTTCAGTAGGGATCTGCACTGGAGGAGGTGAAGGGTCAACCCCAACTGGAACACCCAGAATAGGATCACTGACTGGAAGAGGAAGAGGAAGCAAAGGTGGAGACACCGATGCTTCAGGTCCCGAGAAGGAGACAGAGTCAAAAGAGGTGACATCATGACAGACATAGCACTTCCGAGTAATGGGATTGTAACAGTTGTACCCTTTTTGAGTCCGAGAGTAGACAAGAAAGATACACTTAATAAAGCGTGCATCCAGCTTGTCTATCCCAGGACTCAGATTGTGAACAAAGCACACACAGCCAAAGATGCGGGGTGTTAATGGAAAGGGAGACCGACCATGAAGAATGAAGGGGGGCATCCGATTAATAAGGAAACACGCAGTAAGTACAGCATCACTCCAAAATCGTTTAGGAACACTCATATGATGAAGAATAGACCGAACAGTTTCAAGGAGATTACGGTTCTTTCGTTCAACCACCCCATTTTGTTGAGGAGTGGATGCACATGAAGTTTGATGAATGATGCCTTGTTGTTCTAAATACTGTTGAAAGGAAGTAAGAAAGTATTCACGACTGTTATCTGAACAAAGAACTTTGATTGGAACACCAAATTGTGTACGTATTTCAACATGGAATTTTTGAAAAATGGAAAATAATTCACTCCTTTCTTTCATTAAATAAATTCATGTCATCCTTGAACAATCATCAATAAAAGTGACAAAAT